AAAAATGGGAAAATGGGTGAAAAACAGGGGAAAACAAGGAAGGTGGGGAGAAATGGGGGGAAAACGGGGGAAAATCGGGATTATCTCCCAAAAATCCGCCGGATCCTGCCGGGCCCTTCCCCCTGCCCCGCTGGATCCGCCACCTCCCCCCGGGATTTTCCTGGAGCCGCTCCCGCTGCTCTGGGCCAAGAGAAATCCAGGGAAAAATGCGGCGGAACGGGTCCGGCTGAGCCCTTCCCTCATCCCAAAAAAAAAACCGGGATACTCCTCCAGCCCTTCCCTCATCCCAAAAAAAATCGGGATACTCCTCCAGCCCTTCCCTCATCCCAAAAAAAAATCGGGAGTGCTCCTTGGCACACCTGGAATAGGCAGAGGGAGCTCTTCCCTCATCTTAAAAAAAACCGGGATTGGTCTCGGAACAGCTGGAATGGGCACAGGAGGAGCTTCCCTGCTCCCAGAAAAATGGGATTGTTCCTGGCACAGCTGGAAGGGGCAGAGGGGGCTCACCCAGCTCTGCCCCACCCCAAAATCCCGGAATCCCAGAATCCCGGAATCCCGGAATCCTGAAATCTCAAAATCCCGAAATCCTGGAATTCCGAACTCCTGGAATCTTGAAATCTGGAAATCTCAAAATCCTGAAATCCTAGAATTCTGAAACCCTGGAATCCCGGAATCCTGAAACCCAGGAATCCCGGAATCCTGGAATCCCAGAATCCTGAAATCCCAGAATCCCAAAATCCCGGAATCCCAAAATCTCAAAATCCTGAAATCCCCAAATCCCGAAATCCTGAAATCTCTAAATCCTGAAATCCCAGAATCCCGAAATCTTGAATTCCCGAATTCCCGAATTCTCCAAATCCCGAAATCCCGGAACCCTGAAATCCCAGAATCCCGGAATCCCGAAACCCCGAATTCCCCAAATCCCGGAATCCCAAAATCTCAAAATCCTGAAATCCCCAAATCCCGAAATCCTGGATCTTGAAATCTCTAAATCCTGAAATCCCAGAATCCCGAAATCTTGAATTCCCGAATTCCCCAAATCCCGGAATCCCATAATCCCGAATTCCCGAATTCCCCAATTCCCCAAATCCCGGAATCCCATAATCCCGAGCTGTCCCGTTCCCGTTGCCCAGCCCACGGAGACGGAGCGCTGCATCGAGTCCCTGCTGGCCGTGTTCCAGCGCTACGCCGGCCGCGAGGGGAATTCCTGCACCCTCTCCAAGAGGGAATTCCGGGCCTTCATGGACACCGAGCTGGCCGCCTTCACCAAGGTCCGGGAGAGGGGTGGGAATTTTGGGGTGGGATTTTGGGGTGGGACTTTGGGATGGGACTTTGAGGTGGGATGGAATGGAATTTTGGGGTGGGACTTGGCGGTGGGACTTTTGGGGTGGGATTTTGGGATGGGGTCCATGGGATTGGCATGGGGTGGGATGGGGTTGGATCAATAGAAGGGGATTGATGGGATGGGGTGGGATCAATGCGATGGGATGGGATCAATGGGATTGGGATAGGATGGATCCATGGGATCAATGGGATGGAGCCATGAGATTGGGATGGGGATGGGATCTATGGGATCAATGGAATGAGATAAATCAGACGGGATGAGATCAGTGGGATGGGATCCATGGGATCCATGGGATTGGGATGGGATCAATGGGGTGGGATCAGTGGGATCAGTGGGCTGGGATCAGATCAATGGGATGGGACAGGATGGGATCAGTGGGATCAGTGGGTTGGGATCAGATCAATGGGATGGGATGGGATGGGATCAGTGGGATCAGTGGGTTGGGATCAGATCAATGGGATGGGATCAGTGGGATCAGTGGGTTGGGATCAGATCAATGGGATGGGATCAGTGGGATCAGTGGGCTGGGATCAGATCGATGGGATGGGATGGGATGGGATCAGTGGGTTGGGAGGGGATGATCCGGGGGGATCCCGGTCCTGGGAATGCTCCTGGATGGGATTTGGAGCGGGGTGGGATTGTGGGAACATCACTGAATGTGGATATTTAAGAGTCCCCCATCCCAAACCATTCCAGGACTCCCTGGGCTGGCTCAGATGGGATTTTAGGGATAAATCCTTCCCTGGCCCCAGTTATTCCATGGATTCCCCATCCCTGGGAGTGCCCAATTCCAGCCTGGATTCCCCCTTGGAACAGCAGGAACATCCCTGCCCATGGATTGGGAGATTTCACCTCCTTCCATCCCAAACCATTCCAGGATTCCCTGAGCTCCCATCCCCTTCCTGGGCAGGGAATTCCCCCCTCATTCCAGGCACCAATTCCCGATTTTTTGGGTGTTTTTCCCCCCCAGAACCAGAAGGATCCGGGCGTGGTGGACAGGATGATGAAGAAGCTGGACATGAACAGCGACGGGCAGTTGGATTTCCAGGAATTCCTGAACCTCATCGGGGGCATCGCCGTGGCCTGCCATGATTCCCTGATCCTCAAATCCCCCAATCCATAAATCCAGAGGTTCTGGATCCATCCCAGACCCCCCCCGGGACATCCCATGGAATGCTGGGAGCGATGGAACGGTCACATTCCCTTTTTTCTTTTTTTTTTTTTTTTTT